AAGGCCTCTTCTGGCTTCCGCCCAGAACGGCCCAAGACTCCTTCTGACTCCTCAAGCCAGAACGGCCACAATCCTTCACACAAGGTCCTGCTTCGTGCAAGCGCTCCACGCCTACACTGACTATACATGGAGAGGGCTTCAGTTCAAGCAGTAGTAGTAGTAGTAGTAGCAGTAGTAGTAGTAGTAGTAGTAGTACTATTCGTAGCAGTAGCGCAGCAGCAGCAGCAGTAGTAGTAGTTGTTGTTGTAGTTGTAGTTGTAGTACGGAGCATTCGAGGATTTTTCCCGCTGCGAGTGAATGAATGTAGTTGTATTCGTAGTTGTTGTTGTTGTTGCAGTGGTAGTGGTAGTCGTCGAAGTGGTGGTGGTGGTGGTGGTAATTTTTTGAAATGGTAGTTGCAGTAGAAGCACTGGTAGCCGTAGTGGTCGTCGTCGTGGCGATTCTGTCGCTGGTGCTAGTGCCCCAGTGCTGGCCATCGGTGTCTTCGTCGAAGCAGCGGTAGTAGCAGCAGTGACGCTACCAACCGCCAGCAGCGGTCTGACTGTGGCCCGCCACAAAAATCTGCTGATGAACTAAGTTGGTTACACCAGCTAACGAATCCTTGAGACAAGTTGGACCACCGAAACATCGAAGTAGTAAGTATTGCTTGTTCCAAAGCTAGCATAATTAGTGTTGCTGGGGCTGTTAGTGGCATCGTTTTCCGTGTGTTCGATTCGGTCCGATTCGGTGCTCCGAACATGGAAAATGTCGCCTTTCGATACATGCATACACAGATACACAGATACATAGGTACATATTCGCATACAGATTTTCATGCGGGGAAATGATAGACTACATGGTTCCGCTCGAGTGTTAAGAATATACTCGCCCTCCTCATTTTCGAGTTTGAACACATGGGCTATCAGCACAGGTTGCAGAAGATTTTACCTGTGCAACGAGACCGGGGAATGAACTTACCAATTTTATGCAGCTGCTCGTGCTTTGCCCCGGTGCAGGCCAGGACAGCAAGTACGTGGTCGAAGAAGAAGTCGACGTCGGCAACTCGAAGTTTTGCATTTACCAGCATGCTGCAGAGCATTCGGTCTACCCCGACTTAGGCTGGCCTATACGCTATGCAGTCAACTACTTTATAGCTTTAAAGAAACTTCTGTGACGCCTCTCTGCCTGGACCTGCAGGCAATGCAGGCGTCGCAGGCCCGGACAGCGCCATGCTGCAGTGGCTCCGGGACACGCAGTTCAGCGGCAAGTGGGTCCACTTGACACCAGGCTCGGACTTCATTGCAGACTTCTCCGGGAACCACAGCTTGAGCACCGTCTTCCGGCTGATGGGCGTGCTGAAGGTGCAGGATGACAACACGGCAGTTCAGATCGTGCCCACCCAAGACCTGACGAACACCGAAGCCCTCGAGGTGCCACTGATGGTGGTGTCTGGGGCTCCGCAGCCCAAGTTGAAGGTGAAGGACGAGTCAGAGGCGAAATTCCTCCTTCCGGCATTCATCCCCGATGCGCTCATGGACTATGCCATTTGTGGTGGGCAGGCCGCCCTTGACCAAGTCGAGGCATCCGTGATGGATTCGCGTTTCCACATCATCCACGAGGACCTCCAGGAGCCCGGGAGCTGCGGCATTGTGCGGCGGCGCGGCCTTCTGTCAGTTCGCAAGGACGACTCCGGTTGCGGGGCCTGGTGTCAACACTATCTGCCCCGTGGAGGGCGCTATGACCTGACCATCTCGCACTCCGCCAGCAGCTGCTTCGAATTCGCCTTGGACCTGCACAACGCATCTGCATTGAACAATTCCCTGTACATGTCCATGTCCGCGGGTTGCTTGTTCTTGAAGACATGTGAGTGATGATTAGTTGGTATATATAGCCTTCGTCATGGGTTTCAGTGAACTTGATGGAGATGTTGGGTGTGAGATGGAGGGAGTTGCAGTTGGAACTTGCAAGTAGGAGAGTAGCGTGTCCATTGTTTGTCCCTATGATGCTTGTTTCCTCAATCTAGCACCGTGTTTTGGGCAAAGCATGTCGCTAGATCCTTCCAGCGCCTGAGGTCAAGGGTGCCTGGATGACGGATGGTTGAATCAGGCGGTGAGGCTGAATTTCTCGGCAGCTGTGCAGGAAGCGGTGGGATTGCAACAAAGATGAGCATGCGGTGCATCTCACGGGTTGCTGTATATAGTGGCTCTTTGCTTATTGGCTTGGCTGCCACTGCTCGTTTGATTTGACACTTGCAATGCTGCGACTGTCGCTACTTCCCTGTTGCAGCTTCTACCGGCCGCTGCTGCTCTTTCCACTGTGAGTTAAACGTTTTTTTTGAGAATCGCCAGGAGCTGCTGCAGTGGCATGCGGACCCCAACCAGCCGTTCAAGGGCGTGACACCCTTGCAGACTGCCGCAGCTTCCCGACTGGGCAGTGTTTTTCTATTTCTACACATTACAACCCACAGTTTATGGTCTAATTTCATTGCTCGGAGCTGTTCTCAGTCGCAGAGGCATTTGTTTCCACGTCCAAGAAGATTGTAAACCTGTGGTTCCGGCACCTTTCCCCGATGGGGGGTCCTTTTCGAACTGCGCGGCCATGAGGTCGAAGAAAATGCCATGGTACTAGTGCCATCTTGTTCTCAGGGGCGAAACAGCCAGCTGGCGCAAAAAGCACTTTAATATGTGGGCATCCATGCCCCTTCCAGGTTTGTTGCCGGCAAAGAGGCTTAAGCACAACTCACGTGTGGGCGTCTCAAAGCTGGGCTCATGTCTCCTTCAACGGGCCGGCAGCCACCAAAGTAGCGAGACAATCGGTCTCTAAGACTGTCCGTTGCTCGAAAGGGCGATGCAGTAGCGTGCATGTAGCCTGGATTTTTCCGGAGGCCCAAGTAGGCCGTGACACAAGCAAAGTTTCAGGCCAAACACAAAGAAATGAACAGAAAGCAGCAATCACGACAGCCTGCAAAGGAATCCTGACTGCAGCCTGAATAATTCAGCAGAAGACCAGACCTCTGTGTCCAAGCAGCAGCTCGAAGCACTACATGTGTATATATATATATGTAT